AATTTAAAACAATAACCTGGGGCAAAAGATTAAGAAAGAAGGTCAGCTGGGGAGTTGGAGGGAGCAGAAGGTCTGGCGGTTTCAGAGACATCTCACTTTCCCCAAACCAGCTGAACAAATTGCCGCGTGCCTCTGACCGAGCAGCAGATCACGGGGACTCGAGCTGGGTCTCTGAGCACAGCTGAAGTGGTGCTTGCTGTTCTGAGCCAACAAAACCCTCATTAGCTCGTTGGGTTTGGGAGAGGGGAGCTGAGCTGGAGAGGAAGGGATTGCGGAGGGGACGAGGGGGAGGGAAACCGGGGGTCTTTTGTGAGGGGGTGTCAGCCCGTAAGGGGCTGAGTCAGCATTACTGGCTCTGTCTCCTGCTCCATAAAGGTGACACGTAGCCCAGCCAAGCTGGAATTTAGCTAACACATCCTTCCTTGCAGATAATACTCAAACTTGAAAATTGCTATTGTACTTCACTCTTAAAAAAAAAAAAAAAAACAACAACACAACAAAACCCAACCAACCAAACCACAAAAAAACCCCGTGGCAAGGTGGTGAGTGCTGACAGATTAGAGAAGCAATTTTTCTGACACTGAAGAGAAACTCATTTGGCTGAGTCCACTGGGGAGAGTATGCCTATTTTTAGAAATTATTGTCCTAATAATTATTGCTAAGTACTTGAAAACGATGTATTATGTGCTAAATACAGGCGGTGAGCTCAGTGGTGCCTAGAAAGGGAGGAACATACAGGTCGCATCCTGGAGTTTACAGCCTAAAACTTTATCATTGCAAAACACAAAGCAGTAGGAAAGATGAAAGGTTTGCAGGCTTCCCTCTGCAATATCCCATCGCTCCAGCTCAGAGCAGCGCTGCAATCCACTGGGATGAGTAAGAGTCTTTCTGCTCTATCCTTTTTCCTGGGATGGGACCCAGGGGGTGGCCGAAGGGACGGAGACATGTGGGGCCACGGCTCACCTGGATGGCTACCTGCCTCCTTGCTTGGCTCCTCACCTCTCCCAGCTCTGGCTCTGCTGCTGGGAATGAGGCCAGCTCTGCCCGGTGCTGGTGAGGGTTGGGGAATTTCGCTGTCTAAAGGAAGAATGTTGTTATGTCTAACATTTAATGCAGTGCTGGCACTGGGAGGCTGCAGGAAGATTTGTTTATTTGACAGGCTCTGCTAACTTGACTTTCTAAGGGTAAAAAGCTACGTTGCTATCTGGAAGGGCTTCCATAGGAACGGATCAACCAGTTGCATCCTTCAGCAATCACTCGGAGCCCGTTGGGCTGATAAGGTGTGCCTGGCCAAGGTCTCTGCTCCAGCTTAATACCAGCACGGCACGGGTCTAACACAACCACCAAATTCAGTCCATTCCTGCAAGAGGCTGGAAAGGGCACGGTTTTCTGTACTGCGGGTGCTTTCTGTCCTTCAGAATTATGTTGGTAAGGCTTGAGCTTTCATTGAAACAAAAATGCCAGTAGCCTCCGTGATTAGCTTTCATACGATTTTTATATTACATCAAAAAAAGGTCTTGTTTCTTCCCATTGTGGAGTGATACTGGTTAAATTACATCTTAAAGTGAAGAAATGCTTGCAGATATTGTTGATGACTCAGATGGTTTATAAGACAGACTTGTTTTAAGAGCAGCATGTGCTTGCTCAGAGAACACCCTCAATGCCATCAAACATAACCAATGTTGATCAAAAAAGGTACTTAATCTTGAATTTAAGAAAGCATAAATATTTGAATCAAAGCAAAAACATAGCTGTAATTTCAAAAGGCCAGTGGAAGATCAGCAAGAACCATCATATCTGTAATTGAAACTTTATAAAACACCTATAATACAATAAATTGTATTTGTTGAATGAAGTACACAGGCTATGTCTGTACTAAGGCCAGCAAGGAAAGCTGTTGATCTTTGAGGTAAATGTTACCAAAACTTAAGAAGTAGTTCATTCCAGGAAATACTGCTCCTTCAAATCCCATCATACAGATATTACAAATCATGGCATTAGCAGACACCAAGAAGGCAGAGCTGGAGCTTGAGGCTGGGACCAGGCACCAGGACAAGGATACCAGAAAGAGGATGTAAAGAACCAGAAAATAAGGACCAATACTGAGCAGGGAGAAACAGCATCAAAAGTGAGAATTCAAAGCAGCGAGCTCCAGAAACTCCTGAAAAGTCATTTTGCAAGACACCCTCCTGCTCTCCAACCGCTGATTTTGGAAGTGAGGAAGGAAGGCCTTCCTGTCTCACTTGTCCCCTGGCTGCTCAGGGACTCTGCAATATCCAAATTTGTGTATCATTTATGTTGAAAGGTAGAAACTGTAAAAGTATGATTTGGTCTGGGTCTGTTAAACAAGAAGTTTAATGAACTGTCAGTGAACCTGGTCTGTACATTGAACTTGCTGCAACGCTCAAACCCAGTTTCCATGTAATAAAACTGTGCAACTCCCTGTATTTTTAGATATGTGAAAATAGTTTTCAGATAAATATGTACACTAAGATAAACACATATAGACAAAATTCTGTGCAAAACATAATCTGTGTTTGATCTACACTAAGTACGTTCTATTGTTTTTATGCTTCCTATACTTTAATGAAAATAATGGTATTGAAGAATTTTAAGCATTGGTCTCAGTTTCATCTCCTCATTTTCCTGAAACCTTTAAAATTGTAACTCAAATCTCATGCTTCCTATGCTAAATTTAATTTGGAACACAGGCTAATGGAAATATAGTTGATTTAAGCCAAAGATTGTGAGGATTTTGTGCTGTCTAAACAATATAAAGGAGTTGAAGTCTCAGGTATTTACTCTCTGAGGCAGCATGTAAGCTCTTCGCTCCTATTACGTGATTATCATCCTTCTCGTCAACAGCAAATGATTTTATTAGTTTGTTGTTAAACCTTTCAAAATGAAACCTGCTACTAATGACTTGTCACAGAAATTCAAGAAAGTAAAACAAACTTTGTAGTTTTTCATATTTGATGCTACTGAAGATTAGTCATCTAATGTAACTCATGCACAATATACTGTGGATGATGAAGTCCGAGGTGCCTCAAAAAGAAAAAAAATAAATTAAAAAAATCAGTATGCCTTTGGGAAGATGTACAGTTCCCATGTGCCATTCGACTTTTCTCCCTTCCTTTCAGGAATAAAAGCAGCAACTTTGCTGCTTGCCATCTCTAAGTGACCTGACTCTAAACCGCTACTAATGTCTGCTTTTTTCACAGGACAATCTCTCATCTTTTCCTCTCACTTCTATTGATTAGCTATCAGATTTATTGCAAAATTGTGTCTGTCTCATGTTTTTGTGGCATTGCTGTAGGATCACCAGTCGGGAAGAAGCACACAGGTCAAAAGACAGATGAATCACTGTGTTCATCAGATCCTCTGGGCCATGGGGACTCTGAAAAAGTAAATAGTTCAATTTTTTTAAAGGCAAAGATTGGCTTATGAATTTTATTATTTTATTTAGATATAAGTCAGAGATTCCCTTTCTATAAGTACTCCGAGGCACATTCAATTCAAAAGTAAAAGTGTTTTCACATCAAGCTAACTTTTATAATGCTTTTTTTTTCATTTTTCATTTTCATTTTTATAACCTTTTTTTCCCCCCAAAATATGAAAAGGTACACCAACGTAAAAGAGATCATAATCTAATAAGATGTGATGTCAAAAGCACCTAATTTTGATATAATTAAGTCCCAGCGAATTTGATCCTCATTTAAAACAGAACAAAATTAAACCCATTTTTGGATGGATGTACAGAAGAATTCCAATGCTGGAACTGTTGAGAAATTTAGGCAGGACAATTGAATTATATCAGGTTGGAATTTAGACATTTGTTTAGACTAGCATTTTTGCTTATCAAGGGTACCATTCACTTCTTAGTTCCTTTACTTCACTATTAACTCCTCAGGTTGGGCTTCTGACCTAGAAATCATAATTCCAGTGCCTTTAATGATCTGCAGCTCGGCACTTAAAGTTGATGGTACATAACTCATAATACTGATAAGCAGATAGTAAAAGCATTTTTTAAATGCTATTGGATATCTCATAGCATTTAGAGAGAGTCACGCAATTCTGTTATCCTTTCTCATTTCATTTGTGGGCCAGGTAGAACTCACGCTTAAACTAAAGGCATGCTCATGCATGAATTTAGCAACAATAAGGCTGGCAGTTGTGAAATACATCTAAAAATCCCAAAGATAAGGTCGCAGACGGAGGTGAGCTTTTTCCCTAAACAACATGTATTCCTGATGTGTTTTAGGCTGACATATTAAGTTTGTTCGGGCTCCAATATCCAAATCAGTAGCGGGAATGGAGGCTGAGCCTCGGCTGGGGGTGATGCTGGGAGGGCTGGTGTGCCCACGTACGAAGCCGGTGTTGACACTGGTGCCTTGAGGTAACAAGGAAGAACTGGGGTTTGTACAAAGGTACAATAATTCATTTCTTTTCCTTAGTGTTTATCATAAAAATGTGCAAGTTCAAGCTGGAGACTTGGCACGCTCCATGTTAACAATATAACAACTTCCACTATTGTTTTGCAACAATAAACACTTCCGACAGTAAAAAGCCATATTTTACCAAGAGATTCCATGAAGTATGACCCCAGGAATCTTAACAATATAACAACTTCCACTATTGTTTTGCAACAATAAACACTTCCGACAGTAAAAAGCCATATTTTACCAAGAGATTCCATGAAGTATGACCCCATGAGATTCCAAGTATGACCAAGAGGTCCAAGTATGACCCCATGAATTGCAACGTTTTTTTGAGAGAAGCATCACACACAGCATCCTGGCTATTGCTGCAATGATCATCTCCATAAAATGCATGCAGGTCAGGTGAGTGAAAGTGAGAACTCTATTTACTTAGAAGAGCCTCACCATCTGGTTCATTTTGATTTAAGGAAAAAAAAAACCCAAGAAATCATGTTTTCTCTCTCATTTCATTAACAATCTGATTTTTCATGCTGTAATAAAAAGGAGTTATGTCATTCCCAGACAGCAAGGTTGATTTCCCTCTGCTGGACATGCCCTAGCTTTGGACTACTTTGTACTGACCACCCCAGCTGCACAACAGAAGACATTGTCTGATGTCTGTAGCAGAGAATGCAGTACATGTGGACAGAAAGGAGGGAAGAGGCGAAAAAGAAGAAGAAAGGGTAAACAAACATAAAATAGTGAAAGATGCATTTCGGGAGGGAGATGTGGGTTAAATGGCAACTGGTCTTCATTTGAACTCATGAGCACGGTGAAAGTGGATTTTTTAAAGTTGTGCTGTGCTTCTGCCTGTCATTATATTAATATTTATTGATTTTAATTTCCTTCTCTTTTCCAGAGCTTCCCCTTGCTTGCTTGCCTCATGCAGATGTCTCTTTATGGATGGCCTGCTTCTCCCCTTTGGTTTAGAGTCTGCTCTTAGAAAAGATTGAATAAATGCAGCTTTGCACATCTTTTTTTTGTCCTCCTCCTAAAAGCAATTATCCTCCAAGAAGCTTGGCAGCAGAAGTTCAAGGATAAATCACCTTGCTTACCAGGACTTCCCAGCAGTAGCTGCCTACTAATGGCAAACTTAATAGAACCATTAATAGGCAAAAGGCATGTATTACCAGGCATTCAGGAAAACCTTTTCATCAGAAATGGAGCAGACTGCATTTTACTGTAAAACATCTTTGTTTTTCATGAAACAGGGACAACATTGCAAACAACTGGTGCTCCACTTTCTGTAAAAAATTGTCCTTGGGATCAAATCAGAGTTAAGTAGCTATTCTTATTAACCAGCTTCTTGCAGAGTAACAGAGTTGCCACAAATGACATCAAACTCAGTATAATCAGGAAGCCTGTGTCAAGAAAAAATAAATCCATTCTAAAATAACAGATATCAAAACTTTGTCATTGAAATGTCAAAATATTTGAACTAAGAAAATGTAAATATTAACAGATTAGACTAAGGTGTCAAATCACAGTTTGCCAGTGTTCCTAGTAGAGAGACGGTGAGTTTCACCAAACAGACACTGGAATTAAGGACATCTTGTAGTTTTTTTAAAAATTTGTTTGTTTTAAAATCACAGTTGTGTGCTAATCAATTTCTGATCGTATTTTGTTTCACTGCAGTACTAGAAAAACTCCTGTCAGCTTTAAGATTATTCTGCAGAATTTATGCATGTGGAAATTTATTCTTAAATAACTATTCTTAATTAATTATTTTCAATTAGCTTCCCGTGTAGATGCTGTCATATGAAATGTGTGTCAGTGTGTCTAATTTTGAATGTGGTAACTATTACAACCACTTTTTATGTCCTACTCTAGCCCATATTAACTTTCTGGGTAGACAAAAGTGTACTTTCTAATTTATAACACTTAAAAGTAAATTTGATGCCAAAATCATAAGGTTTGAAGAAGGTAGTAATATATTGTATTAGATCAAGAGACAGAGTTCGAAGAAACAAAAACTTTTGGGCCCACATGGCCTCCTTCAGATCTCAGATGTCTGAAAATTTGCCTATAGTTGCTTTCCCTACAAAATTTATATTGCTTTTTGACTTAAAATCACAAGTACAAGACCACTGCTATGTATAAAATCAGTCCCTTCTTCTCTTAATAATGAAAAAATAAATCCATAGTAGAAGACAATGGTGTTCATTAAATGGCATTTGTCCTTTCTTGCTTGTAAATTATGTTTCATTTCCTAGGCAACAAGCTTATACCATTTTATAGGCTAAGAAAACTGGTTGTGCTTAAAAATATGCTTGCTTTTATGGTTAAAAGGGTCTGATGTTCAGGCTTTGACACTTTTTGAATGGGTTACTTGACCATGGTCAGTTATTTTTTTCCTTTTATTGTACCTTGCAAGAGCCATAGCAAAAGAATGACTCTAGAGCAGGGGATATAAACCAGATTTAAATACTTAGCATTTTACTTCAGGCATCTGGCTCATCCAGTCATATTTAAATATAATCAAGAAATTCTTGAAATGCTTTAAGAGTTTATATTTCAGGGGAAAGGCAAAATAAGAATTCCTGTGAAAACAAAACCAACACAATATTGCCCATATCTGGCCATTTTATCTCCTCCCTATTTCATCTTGCTTTTTCTGCTGCAGAAGGAAATCCATTTGGGGTCATCTTAGAAAGGTTCCTACCCCTTGAGCATGACATTCATCCACTATCCAGAATACTGCTGTACCCGGATTTCTATGGGCATTAAAAATTACTGATCTGGGCAGAAGAGACAGAAGAAAATTTTGTGCATCACAACATTCACAATTCTGTCGTACACACCAGCTTTGCTGAAAAACTTTTTACTGAATAGACACAAATAATACTTCCAGGAAATAACTCCTTTGGACACTTTAGTATTATTTTCTTCTAGTGACTATTTTATTTTATATTTTATATTTTATTTTATTTTATTTTATTTTATTATTTTATTTTATTGCCTAGCATATATTGGTATTCATGATTTGCAATTCTTGTAAAATCCTTTAAGGCAGAAGTATAAGAGAATAGATGTTGAGGACTAACAGCCCTCCAGGCCTCCTGTTGGCACTCACCAATGTCATAACACGTGTTCCTGCAACGCAGGTGCTGTCAGGGCCCCGTGGCCACCCAGCATCCTCCTGCCCATGGGCAGAGCTCCAGCAGGACATGGGGGCTTGTGGGAGGGGGGAGAGTGATACAGGATCTGCCTGACTCCAGCTCCAGGAGCCAATGCTCAAACATTGCTCCTAAGTGAATAGCAATTTATAAAGTAATCTGGATAAATAGTTATGTCCCGTCCAAGCAGGAGGTCAGCTGACGAACATCGTGCTGCTTCTGAGCACCCACTGCGTGACCCCAGTCAATGCAGGAAGCAAGGATTTTCTTGTCTCATCTGGTGGACAAGTGGCCACACACCACTCTGCCTGGAACCTGTTCCTTGGGAGGCAGCAAGGAGTGTTAAATGAGCTTGGGAGTAAAGAAATGGCAGGCAGATCACAGAGCCTTGTACTCCACCACTGCACCTCGGGTCTGGATCAGCTGCCTGCCGCTGGCTTCTGACTGAAAAAAACATTAGAACTGGAAGGCATCTCTCTTCTGCAGAGATCAAGGCTTTCTTGCAAAACAAATATTTATTTCACTTTCATATTTGTGATTTTAAATGCCCTAGAAATAACATTCTTAAAACTCTCTCCTGTCCTGGAAAGAAGAAACACAGAACAGGAGCCTTTTGGGAACGCTGATCTGCCAAGAGCATAAATGAATTTATGTGGCATTATTTAATAGCTACTGCCTAGAAGATCGTTTGAAGCCATAGATCATGGTTGCAACATCAAAAGCTCTGGAATGGAAACAAAATTTCCATTTTTTTCCCTTCCTGTCTGCAACTGCTTAATTCCATTGGTGCTGTTTCTAGACAGTGCTGTGAAAGAGACGTAGGTTATTTGCCTGTGAAGCTCAGAAGGATCATGTTATGTTCAAGCTTCAACCAGAACACAGCTTTTAAAGATAAGAAATGTCCAGCCTTCCTCCTCCTTCCTTGTCCCCCTTCCTGCAGCAAAAGTTGATTGACAGCTAACCACTGGAAGGTAGCCCCAAGAACTTTGTACCTTAACATTTGATCTGGAAAGGACTTATTCCACTCACCAAAGCCTGCCAAAGACAGGATAAGGCTTCAGTACCTCTTGTGTGATAATTCAATTCTGTTTTAGATCGTCAAATTAAAAGTCTTCATGTGTGTGTGGCTTGGGAGATCATTCCCCAGTTTAGCAAAAGTGTTTTCCTCTGATTTTAATTCTTTGTTTTCCAACTGGTGAGGAGATTTAAGCCACTTAAAACTTCAATGTTTGATCCAAGCCAAACACCTAGGCTCTTTCTATAGCCTATAGATTACCATCCTAAAACAGATATTGAAGACAGATGAGATGAATTGCCTTCTACAAATGCTTTTGATCCATCTTGATTATGGTGGGAACTTGGGGGAGTGAACTGAACTGGAAACCAAACTTGTGAAGACCTGAGAGAAGCATCCCACCAGAGCAGAGCAGTTGTTCCTCCCACAGCTCCTGGTCACGTGTGGCTGTATCATGCTGAAGGTTTGTCTCTTGGAGGCTTCACTGCCATTTAAGTGTCACAGTTACCGTTACCTTATTCTGTTTATTAGTTTCCCTAGTTGTCTACTGCCCTTACTTGACATTGTGACGGTGTTTGGTAACAGATGTTTATACATTGGAAAGGAGCAGAAATGACCATTGTGATCTAATCTGATTTCCTCTGTAACATAGTCCACAGACTTTCTGAATTGATTTCTGTTTGCAAGTGACAGACCCAGGTGCTGCCTTTGGTGAAGTGTTCCAGTTTACCATTCTTCTTTAAAACCTATGTTTAGCTTCACTTTCTAGCTACTTTATACCACTAGTAGCAGATACGTATAGTTTTTCTCTTTTCTTCCAAATTCTTTGTTTCTTATGCAATAATAATAAAAATAAACAACAACAACAATTATATAATAAGCCACTATACTTATGTTTGAATTACAGGGTTCTTGGATGTGTAAATTTTTAGAAGCTATACTGACACTTCTTGCTTTTTTGAATTTTTTTAAGTAGATTATTCCTGCCTTTCTACTTCTGTTACTGGACTAACTCCTCTGAGCTGTAATGGTGCCAGGGAGTTACAAGTCTCTGAAGAAACTTAAACTCATGGAGTTGCCATATCAGAGTAGACTGGTGTTGGATCAGATCCCAGGTTCACCTGGTAACCCTGTCCATGTGTGGTGAACACTAGCTGTTCAGAGAAATTATTACTACTTTCTGTTCCATTTTTGGATGTCTTTAATTTTTAAACTCTTTTTAGCTGTTGATTTCATACCTCCTTGTATGGAGGAAAATAAACACCAAGCGACATGTTTAGGTATTGGAAAGCAGAATTCAGGAGTGAAATCCCCATCCAGTTGCAATTAATCAAAGTTTTGACCCCCCAAGCCCCCAGTTCTGAGTTTTCTACACTTTACATTTACATTTTGCAATGTTACAAAAACCTTTCTTGTTTTTTTTCTTCCCTTTGGGGCTTCCCAGTGCTTTGCTGGACCCATTCACCTGCTCCGCTAGTTTCCATGTATTTTAATGAAGCCTCCTGCTTAAAGCAATTGGAATCTTCATTAGCCAACAACTGATATAAAAAACTGACTGGTTCTCTATCTAAAACTAGATGCATATAGTGAAATGTATGGAAGAAAATGGACTATATCAACAAAATTATCAGATGGTGGACTCTGTTTCTTTTGAGGCTGCCATAAGAGTATTCAGGACCCTGGGTGCTGGAAATCAAGTTTCAGAATGTTAACTTGCTTAGGAGATATTTTATGACAATGGACAAATATTTGTTTAGTGCCCAGGACTGGATTTTTAGACAAGATTGCTGTCTCTCATCATGGAACATCATGGAAAGACAGAAGAAAACCATCATCACAGGGAGATAGACTTGGAGATGTCCTCCTTG